CACATGCTGTGTGTAGGTATTTACGTGGTTAGCTAAATAAAAAAGTAACTCGGTAGCACGCAAAACACATATTAAAATCCCCATATATACTATGAAAAATTCCATCGAGATCCACAAAATAAATTTACTATTCAAGTAACATACATTTTTTTAAGTATTATATTTATATTTTAGCCATCACCATCATTAGAGCTGTTCTCTTCAGTTGATGGGAAGTTTCAAAATTTCCTTAAACGATAATCTTTTTAGTAGAAACACCAGCGCAAGCCTCGCTTACAGAATATATCTCACTCTATTACCGACAACCCAGTAGATAAAGATAATACTGCACATTAGCATTTTTAATCGATTGTTATCCACGGCAGCGTCCTGTTTCCGATCTCAAATGTCTCGGGGGACTTCCTTGTTTGGGCAGGCGATGGCCGCAGAAGCTAAGCAGGGACATTTTGAAGCGGAGCGTTGAAAAACCGGAATTGAATGTTTTTATTTTTAACTCTGCATATTCTATTTATTTTAATTGAAGCTAAGTCACTATTAATTCGAGGCTGGCGAACCATAAGAGGTTCTGCGGATTGAAAGAATACTTTAGTCTAAGATTTTGTATCCAGCACAAGCAAACTTCCTAAAGATGTTTTCTGAAAAATGCGCAGGCTACGCAGATTTCACACAGCCTGAAGGCGTCGGAGTCAATTACTTTGTTAAAAATATATATATATATATATATATATAAACTTAAATCACTCAGGGTTTTTTTTTTTTTGTGAGTGTTACAAAAATTGAAGGGGACCGCCCCCCAGAATGATGTTGAACCAAACACACACACACACATTGATTGCGGGGATATAGGCACAGGGTGGTTTCTTCGCAATGCTCTCTTTTTTATTTGTTCACGGCTGATGACCTAATAGTCTTGCTAATTAGCAATGAGGTTACTCTGGGCTTTTCGTACAGATCTCATGTTTTCTAGGAAGCCAACCACAGCATTTGATTTCTTTTTTTCGGTAAGGTTTACCTAAGCAAACGCTAGTAGCTATCTACAGAGTTTCAAAGAGAAGCAGAAAAATCTACGTGGATGCATGCAAAGGTTCCTGATATTTAAAAAAAAAATGTCTTCAGGCATCAAAATACGACAAAAAATTTGACGCGCCCAAACTTCTGGCCCGTTCCGAGTATAAGCTAGACAAACGCGTTCACCTCACCCCCTACCCTTCAAAAATGATGGCGGTACAGCCATGCCCACGTGCAACTGGCGTACGTCTTCTGATGAACGGTTCACACAAGTCAGCAGCTGCGTCTCCACGCACGAGAGTGTACCATACCCCAAAACCGGTCGCCTCCTAGAACCTGCACGCCGGTTTCTCAAAGTATAGCGGAGACACAAAAACACGAAGAAGCACATTCTCCAGAAAAGAACGAAAAAGAAAAAAAAAGAATTGAAACGAAGCAGAATTAAGGCAGCGTGCGAAACCGACAGGAAGACGTGAGACAGTCGCCGTGTCGTTTCGGGGTTTCTGCCCTGTCATTTGGGGGTCAACCGTTTGCTAGTGTGAAGGGGGTACGATGGGTATTGCGTGTGTACGATGCTTGCCGCCGGTGCGGAGGTTGCGTGCATCAAGTGTGGGAACGGTGGCCAAGTACTTCCGTATGCGCGCCATGAAGGGACGCTGCGGTGACGTCACCTTTCGACCTTTCGTTCGCGGAATGAAGGAAAAAGGAAGGAAGAAAAAGCGGAGCCTCTCTGAGAACTTGAATGGCGTCAACAATGCGGTGGTGAGCTTTGCCCAAAACACTAATAACGAAAAAAAAAAAATAACCAGGAGAAATATTTTGAGGCAATCCACAATTGCAGAAAGTGCGAGGGCGTGGGTTGAATTGTCACCCCAGCTGGTTGTGCGCCAAGACAAGCATAGATTGCTACGGAAAGTTGTTCTGGAGTGAGTCGAAACGAGAGTTGATCAGTGAACGCTCTAGGGCAGAAAGCATGCACACCGTTTTCAGATCATGATGCTCCTATTCGGGTACCGTCTACGCGGGAAGCTAGCCGACTTCCATGATACAATTCGCAGTTCTATTTATTTATTCATTTATTCAAAATACCTGTAAGGTCTTTTGACGGATCCATGAGAGGGGAGGGAGAAGACAATACAGTTGGATAAAAACATGAACAGAAAAGTACGGCACATACCGCACTGCATATTGTGAGGAATGACAAATAATCGGGCGGCGAATTAACTGGAGGACCTAAACGTTTATTGCAGCGAACCTGTGCACAAAACAAGATAGAGAAAGGTTAGCGTCGTAGGCATCGCTGTCGGCGGAACAGCAGGATCGAGCGCTGCAGGTTTTTGTCGCGTAAAACATTTGTAACTCAATCAAACGACCATGCTCTCGAACTTACAAGAACGCCAAGTTGAAAGAATAAATAAAAGAACATTCCACTCCATGGAATCAAAAGTGGAGCCTCCGCGTAACAGCCAAAGGCGGTAACCATTCGACCACGCACATGCTCACACGGCGACGCGCGTGGCAACTTTAACATCAATACAATATCACAGGTATCAGTAGAAGTTATAATTATCAAAAAAGTAGGTATTATGCAAAAAAAAAAAAAAAAAAAACGAAACACACATATATTTAATATTATCTCAAATGTTGCAAACAGGGACGTACAATATTCAGTTAATATTCAATCAAAAACACAACGAGCTGGCTTCCACCTACCCGAAATGATCGAATGAATCAAAGGATCTGACACAGTTATTTGCGCTAAAATAATGGTTGTGATTTTCGAACGATAAATGTTATGATCAGCAATAGACACTGTGGCTTCGGGAAGATTGTTCCAGAGCTTGATGACACGGGGTAAGAAAGAATTGTTGAATGCAAATGTTGTCCCAAAAACACGCTTGAAGCTGTTAGTGTTAAAGTTCCGTGATTATTTATTAATTAGGTGGTTCTAGAGGAGAGCAGCGAGTTCCACCGGGGCTGTATAATAGTCTGTTGATTAAGCATACAAGAGAAATTGTACGGCGGGTTTCCTGCAATGAAATTGAATTATTTTGTTTTACTTATGATATGAAAACGCGAGTATCATGGTGAAATGAAACGAGCAGCTTGATTTTGAATAGATACGATGTGATTATAAGAGAGGTTAGGTGAGGGGACCAGATGGCGGATGCATACTCTTATTTCGGGCGGACATTTGTTGTGTAACATAATTCACGAAGGTGAGGGGGTGCAGATTATAGATTGCGCTTCAAGTAACCTAGTGTAAGGTATGCTTTAGCGATAATCATGTTAATATGGGCTACTCGAGAAAGGTTAAGGGTTAGTTCAGCACCGAGGTAGGGGTAAGCAGAAACAGCTGCGATTGTGCCAATCGTTAAGTGAATATGTGAAGTCTGAGTTGGATCGTTTACGGGTAAATGAAACAAGTTTGCGTTTAGCAGTTTTAAGGGTTATTTGACATTTGGAGCACCAGCGTACTACCTGTATGATTTGTTAAGCCCTACGCAATAAGACCGGTCTTCCGACGTCCCTACTCAGTGCCCCCGTGGATAATTTATTTCCACGGGGGCACTTTCTGAACAATGCTGACCAAGTTAATTACCTAGGTGCTTTATTGGAAACACATTTGTGCATCTTATTTATGAATCACCCTCGAATTGAACAGAATTTTAGGAACTTGAAAGGAATAGGTTAATTCTGTTCCTCACTATCAATATAGGGTCAAGCCGTTTCGGGTTGTTAAGCGACTCCTCTCCGTTTCAGACAGGACTTGCCCGATGCACCCAAGAACTCGCAAGCCCGAAAAGTACAATATTAAGCAAACAAATCGTAATCGCCTTCCGTTAAGCCTAAGATGAAATGGAATAAATCTTATTCACAGCGGCTTTTTCACGACGAGTCTAGTCCACAGTATTTTCCACAAGAGGTAGCACAAGGCTATTACAAAATGATTCTGTATCCGGTTATTTACTAAGACATTTCATCAGACGCAATTGTATCTCAGCTAGCCTTTTTTTAGTTAATACACAGCCTTCTGTAGAGTCCGCATACGAACCTCATAAAAGTCGCCATTGCCAAGGCAGCGCAGTATAAAATTTGTAAAGTGCGTAACGGTGTTAAAGATAAATGCACTCGTATGCAACCGTGTACCAGAAGTACTGTTCGAGACTTTGTGTTTCTCCATAATATTAAAAATCGGGCATTTGATACTGCGCAGCTTCTTGGGAAAATTATTGTTCATGTTCCTGTACATGCAACTAGATATTTTGTTAGTTGTTATGCTTACTTGCCCTGTAACACTTCACCACTTTCTCGGATCCAGTCATTGCATGAGACCACCGCTCCACCTTCCCTGGACATTTCGTCATCAACTACTTTTTACCGCTGCCAATTGAATGAACACTTATCTACCTCTTAATTTGTTCTATTTGTTGCATGGTAAACGTTTTCGTTTTCATGCTTTATTGCTTGTTGACGATTACTCTAAAAAAAAGCCCGTCCGTCTACTTTCCCGCACAACACTCGGAGAGCCAATCGCAGCAACCTACGGAGGCAGCTCAGCGAATGACGATGCCGAAACATACGTTCAGACCAAAAAACGCAGTCCGAGTTATGACATTAAGCTATGCAAAACGTCACTCTTGCATTGCTTAATGTCACAACTCAGACTGCGTTTTTGGTCTAAACGTATTTTTCGGCCTCGTCATTCGCTGAGCTGCCTCCATAAGTTTCGGTGATTGGCTCTCCGAGTGTTGTGCGGGAAAGTAAACGCACGTTTTTTTTTTTTTAGAGTGATGCTGCACCAAAATGAAGGCCTTCTTGGTTGTTTTTGTACACCAAAATAAAGAACATTATATTATTCTTATTATTAATATTATAACGACAGTTCTCCAGTTTGTTGGGGTCACGAGCGAACACGAGGAGAGGCCATTCACGGGTCACGCGCATGCGTAGATCAGGTCCCGCCCGCGGGTGAAGGAGAGGGCACTCACATGGGTTCCGGTTGTCCCTCCTGAGGCGGCGCTCGTAGCGGGACATCTTGATGCGCGGGTAGAGTGCGCTGGCCGAGCGCACCAGGCGGAGCCCCAGGCGGTCCGCCGAGGCCAGCGACGAGACCCTGCCCAGCATGTGGCTCTCGGACAAATTGCTACACGAGATGCTCTGCGGCTCCTTCATCTTGGCCTCTGCAACAACCGGGGGCGCACGCGCGGGCCGCTCACCTCACTGGGCAGCGCTCTTGCTGCGGCCGGCACTGCAGCACTAAGGTTAGCCCTTCGCAGATAATAAGTTACATTGCCGGAAACTTGATGTAGTCAGCTTATGTGTACAGTTTAGTGGTAGGAGTGTTACATGGCTTCACCTGACGTCGCCTCGCCATGCTGGTGGTCATCACTGCTTGTTCTTCTCCAGAACAACGAAATCGGTCGAGCAAAATATATTCCATAAGAAATAAGTGCTTAGCAGCAAGGCTACCGCAGCGGAAGCGGATATGATGTTATTGCGAGCCATGCATACCTTGAGGATATGCTTTCTCTCAGGTGCTCTGTGTGGCTTTGCTCGAAGGATGGAGATGTCTCTTTGCACGAATGGTCGTGTAAACTAAGTGTTTTGCATAGATCCACTCTCGCGTTTGTGCATCTGATAACACCACAAACAACTTGAAAGATGACGCCTATGCGGATAGAGCCAAGCAAATGGCGTGACGACTGAGACGAGCTGAATTTTAAAACAGCTTCGCTTTTCAAAAAGATACTGGGCGTGGTCCACTGATTTGCTTTCGTCCGACTTGTCTCTAAATGATGGCGTAAACTTAATGCTCTAGTTCTGTCTTGTTTCTTGACTAGTATGCGCAAAACACATTTCTAAGAAAGAATTTCGGGCTCAGTGGTTTCACTATACGGGTGCACAGTATGTGAGACTAACATAAGTACCTTCATACAAACAAAAATTAGTCCGTATAAAATTCAAACAATGGTGGCTAGTATTAATAAAAAAAATTAATTGTGTTTTACAAAGACGGGGATTTAGAAAGTATTTTACATGCACACGTGCGAGTGGATACCAAGCCTTTAGCATAGCTCCATTCACACTTCTCATTCTTCGACAGATTTGCTGACAAGAGGGAGTATTTAGCCTACATGGAGTATTCGCAAAACGCAATCATGCCGGTCGTTGTTCACACCACATGCTTGGAACTAGCCCCCTGTTATTTTCTGCCGAAAACCGATTCCTTTTTGCAAGGAATGCACGATTATGAGAGTTCATCGTGCATTCGACCCAATCAGGACCGAGAATGCGTTGTTCACAACGACCACGGTCGCTCGATTTTGGTTCCAGCTCCGCTGGGGATGGCCAGCCCAGTGGCTACTTTGCAGATAAGAAACGAGAGTGCTCAAGTCAGCCGGAGTGAGTAGTATTTAGCCTAGCGGCGCTGACCTGCGGCCAGTGTAAAAATCCCTTGATAAAATTCACCCTTGGCGTTTCTTCAGGCCCATTCACACAAAGCCGCCTGCTTACGTTTTTTTTTTTTTTTTTTTTTTTTACGTTACGTTATGAATAACCGAGGTATCCGAGCTTCGTATGTCGCGCGCAAATCTACCTGTTCTATTGGTTGCCACGGTCATTATGAAGCACGGATGTACCGGTGACATTCGACGTAAGCAGACGTAAGCTCTCGTGACAAACCATAAAGTAAGCGAACGGAACTGTGTAAAGCATGTTACGGGCTTAAAACGGTCATGAAACGATATCGGGTTGAAATGTTCATGACTTTACAACTTAACAGAGGCGTACTGGTTCTAGTCTGGCCCAAGTATATTCGCACGGGCCGCCACTTATTCAGAAGCGGAATCAGTGGCGAAATTTCGAGGATAAAAGGGGACTATTTCTTTTAGTCTTGCCTTTACAAAGATTAATGCCGTAATTGTGGGATCGAAACCACCTGCCTGGACGACAGTCAAGCGCGGTTCATGGATTGGACAGGAGAACAGCGTGAGCTATCGACTTCGACTCGTAACAATCAATTTCTCGATGGACACTCGGGTAATAAGTATCTCGTGTACAACCAGTGTGGTGATGAGAACAGCCGAACTCGAACAATGCCTAGAGCTCAGCACGCGTTTTCTACATTGCCAACCCCATCGCGTGTGTATGATTAACTTTGGCGGCATGGGACGAGATCCAGGCCGCGGGATCGCTTGTTCTGGCTCCGAGTTGAGGGGATGAACGATGCTCATATTTCTCGAATTTATTTGCCGACTGACATTGCTTAGAAAGTTAAACTAAGGCAAGTTCATTCGGTTATCAACTTTAGGGACTGATTCTGAGTAGTATTTAGGAAAAACAGAAAAATCGTTTCATGGCCCATTAAGCTGAGCAAGTTGGTTCATTATTTTTGAAGTGAACGCTAAACCAACTTTACCGAGCATTGATTGAAGCCCTAGCCATTGGTAAGAAAGAAGAATATTGCGTCAACACCTTGGGCACATGACCATAAATAAATATGAGGAGGAAGACTAACTAGCAAAAATAAAGAAGACCATATCAGAAATGAAAAAGAATCAAATAAGCATTAAAGCGTTGTTAGCCAGGCGATGTGGATTTATATCTTTTTTTATGAGTGCATTTTCCTCTGCTCTGTTCAGCTGGCCACTTTCACAAAATACCAACTTTATAAACCAGCCTTTACATGCACTGCCAAATAATGTTGCTTAAACACGCAAGACAAGTGCCACGACCGAGTGCTCTGCCGCCATTTGCTTCCAAGGACTACCCGAGGCACTGGTCTTGTGTTTTTATGCATTTTACGTTACTTGTGAGACAAACACATCGAGTGACTTTGGCCAGTGCAACTAGCGGCTACCAAACGGGAGCGTCGCGAGGCCCGAGGAACACAAAAGTATTGCCCGTGTCTGCGTCTTCTGGCGAAGCGGCGGGCCGTAACGAAGCGGCAGTGATCAAGCGACCGTGCAACGACCAACAAAATGGCGTTCCAGGAATAAGCGTATACATGGTGTCTTTACTGCGAAGGCTCGAGTTGCCGACACGCACCCAGATTTTCCCAGTCCACGCCGGCGGCCTTCCTGCGGCGCGCGATCTCCAGCCACTCGGGGTCCACCTGGTGCTCCGAGGGCGGCCTCCCGGAGCGGGACAGGGACCGGCACCTTCGCTCGGCGTCGTCCAGGTAGCGGTCCGAGGGGGACGTCAACATCTTCCGGTCCCATGAGAGCGACGACGTCGGGAGGACACCGCCGCCGACCCCGCCACGGCCCGCGCTTAGGAAGGGAAGGACACAGGGTGCTTATTAACTGCCCTTCGAATAACGATAGTATTGGTTACATCTAAAATACTTTTTACGAGTAAAGAAAACTTCGTGAGAAAAGCAGGCGCGCAGGTGAGCTCGCCATAAAAAACTAACAAAAACTTCAAACCAAAAAAAAATAATGAAACGGTGCGTGTGTCCTTGCTTATATGTGTCCTTTTGGCCTCTTTGGTCCCATGTGTTAGAATGTTGGATACGTATGAGGATTTTGTCATATAATTAATCTCGATGAATGGAAACAACCATAACATTAAAATGAGTTTACTCGCTTTTTTGCGTTTTTAATGGGAGAAGAGAGAAGATAAAAAGGGAAAAAAATGTTAACATAATCATTGCAAAAAAAAAAAAAAAAAACAAACCCCAATGTTGGTACCTCATGCCAGGCAGACCGCTAGGCATAGATTAGTGTTTTTTTTAACTGTTGTAGGAAATTCGGCACATGTTTTCTTGTTAAATGAAAATTATCAATGTCATTTATGCTGCTTTTTGTCACCCAATGAAGCAAGCGTGAAGTAACAACACTAATACTTAAAAGCGTGCGTAAATAGTGCCAATGTTCTTACATTAAATGTTAATAGTAAGACATTGTTAGAAATAAGTTTCCTGCATTATGTGCGAAACGGGAAGCCTAAAATAAGCTCTCCCGTTTCGCATTTTGTTTATTACACCACAGGGTTTCCTTTTCCCGCATGATTGCTCTTTCCCTGATTGACCTAATCCCTAAAGCCGCGGTCACTCTGCTCATACACCATACAAAATACAGTCCGCAAAGACGAGTCACAACAACATCCGTGGTTCGAATGCCGCGTGCACAAGTTTCTCCTTGAACTCATTGCCAGTCGGCATTCGAAGCACGGACCTCGTGGTGACTCACGTTTGAATCTGCATGCAGACTTCTGTATGCAGAATCTGTATGCAGAATTCCGACTTTAGAGTTCTCTATTCTAATCATCATTAAAATTGTTGTAGCAATACACCGATCTCACCAGTCGGTTTCGCTACGACAGCGCTGCAGAAATACATCGAGGGTACCTTAGTCTTCCTGCACGTGCGACAACCTCGCTGGAGCTCTGAAAACGCAGAGCAGCGAAGCCTCGGGCACTCCGCCTGCGTGCCGTGAACTGAAGTTATTGCGGCTTCATGCATGCGCCGAGCGCTTGGTGAGATCGGTCTATTTTCTTAACTATGTTCTCCTACGCAGATGCAGGTATACTTCCGGAAGAAAGTACCTTGCAGCCATTTACCAAAGCGTCGCCCTAGACCCTGCAGTCCCACTGTTCACACATCACGCATGCGACACGGTGTTTGCTGTAGACATCATGTCCTAATTATCTGCTGACTCTACTCGAGCGAGTTCGAAACATATCTGCCTTGTATGTATGCATGCTTCAAACATGTCTGCAGACAGTGTTTGTATCGTAAGAAACAGTACTGAAAAATGTCGAGGTCGAAGAAGAAACACACGGGACGAGCGCGGACTATCAACTGAGATAGTTTAATAGGAAAACGTACGAAAACGACCATTCATCTTCGGTAGTATGCCACTCCGTCTTGTCACTCCATCTTGGCTCACACTCACAGTCGCGGCAATGCATCGCAAGATGAAGTATGCACACCCCTTCAATGAACTCCGCTGCTTTTTTAAACGGGTATTCAAACAGCGCCCCGTTTGACCAATATATACCCGCCCGCATGAGGAAGGTATCTAATGCACTGTTCCAACGGTGCATGAGTGGCTGTGAGCCAAGATGGAATGACACCGAAGTTATGTTCAAGTACAAGGACCAATTGTTTAAAGAGGTAGTATAGGCCTACCAAATAAAAAAGACGAGAGCCTCCTGTGTCAGCCAACCGCCTTTGGTACTGCTGGATAGTGGTGTGGCCTTTTTGGATTTTGGGCTAGCTTCATATAACTTTTTATCGCGTTTAAGACGTGCCATCACGCTGCTATGAATTGTCTCGTGATATGTAGAACGGGACGTACTACCAAAGATGAGTGGTCGCTTTCGTATGCTTTCCTATTAAAAGATTTCAGTTGATAGTCAGCTCTCGCCCCGTGTGTTTCTTCTTCGTTTTCTTCCGTTTTTCGCGCTGTTTCCTACGATGAATTCCCACCAACTCGCCCAACTATTCACTCTTCTAAGTGTGTGTATGACCAGTACGACAAGGGACCGTCATATAGAAGGCAGACACCTGCCTCAGACGGTGTCTGTGGACTGTCTTGTACGACTTAGGATTTCTGTTTGCAGTGCGGCCGCAGCTTAAAAGTCCCTCACCCGTGTACCCTAGCAGTCCGACAGCTCTCCGAGCGGGACACGCCGTGTGAACTCGCTGCTGCTGGCTTCGACTGCTGCGCCGTCCCTCGTCCCCTGGGTTCTCCTCGCGGCACGATCCTGAAGTTGACCCTGAAGTCCGAAGGGGCCGACGTCTTCGAGGGGGCGGCGGGGGCGTCCGGGGTGCGGGGCCTCGGGATGCCGGATGGTTTCTTGGCCGGAGACACCGGCGGTCCCTGGGGGCTGCGCGGAGGAAAGCCTCGGGGCGTCGGGGCCATCGTGGCGATCTGCGTCTTGGTCGGACTGGAGAAACAACGGGGGTTGGGACAACGTGGGGTCATGTAAAGGAACAGCTGGGATTGCGACTCCGATAAGAGGGAAGGCGGTCTTCCGAAAGAAAGATTGTTGTGGATCCGTATGATTCTCTACTCGTGTCTACTTGTGGACGGTGGATCTCCAATGCCGTGATATCTCGAAATTAAATCGCGATGTTATTTCCTCGTATATTTTGTTAGGTCAAGACTGCTTTGAAATATATCGAGTAATTTTTTGTTTTGTTTTTGATGTCTTGGGGGGGGGGGGGGGGGTTGATGTCTTGTTTTTGATGTTAACAAATGTGCTGGCTTGGCGAACGGAAATTCGACTCAAAGAACAATATCGAGAAACATGCATGAAAAGGTAAGGCAATACGATATCCACCCAAATCACATTTATTCTGAAGAATCTACAATCAGCATAGAACCCACTGTGCTTTTGGCAAACACTTTCTTTATACGTACGCATGACTTCGTCTAGTCACGTTAAAGATAGAAATTGCACATTCATTATTTGATAGCAAATGAGTCGGGTTTGCGTGGAATGTGCACGTATATACTTTTTTTTAAATAAACTCCAAGGTCACTTTAAGCGAGTTGGAGACTCGGATTCGTTCAGTAGACTCTTAATCCTTTCAATTTTTTTTTTTTACTTCTGGCCCGACTATTGAAGGGCTTTGGTAAAATAGGAGTTAACTCACAGGCAAGTTAGTGGACGATCGCATTGATCGTTCACCAGCTCATCTGTGAAGAGATTTGGCGGTTTCGTCCTCGTGATCTTTGAACCAGAAAACGAACTTAGGGGCGATGGCGTTCGCACGCGCTTAAGTACAAGGAAATTTCAATCACAAGTCCAATCCTTTTTATAGTTAGTCGCCAAGGTGAATAAAAGACGGGGGCGACGGGCCAAGGATTAAAATCGACACGTTTCAGTGTTGGTTTTCCTCAGATGGATTACGTTAAGTCAAGCATAAGTCTAACGAGGAAGTGAGATGCACGGCACACCATACCTCGTTTTACTTACGAATAAAGAAAACCCGAAAGAGCAGGATTGAAGTTTCTATTTGTTAGTTCAGGGATCAGAGAGCGAAATACGCATAAGAGTATAAAAAATACTCAGATATGCATTCTTAACAGACTAGCATGTAACATACGGATATGACTGTGCAATCATTGTGTGTCTGTTAGTCAACGCTAATCACTAATTCAGAGTTTAATTATAGTTTCAACACAATAAAAAGGGGTGCGAAAGTTACACGAGTGCCGTCTTTGCCATGTATTTATCAGTCTGGGCGTGCATTAGATGAGAAGGTAATCGTCATGATAATTTGGCTAACTAACTAAAATCTGCTATTTACCTTTTTATTTCATTGGCTTTAGGGGTCATGCTGCAATTGCATTAAGGCCCTCTCACACCGAGGCAACACGATGGCAACAGCAACACAACACGTTATCCAACAGTCGGGGAACTTGTTGCTTGCTCCCCGTGTTGCCCGACAAACCTGTCACATCGCGGCAACAGCAGCACAACATAAACGACCACAAAAATGCTGCCTCGTTATGACAGCTTTCGGCAACAAAAACAGCAGCAACCTGTGTTGGGCAACGTGTGTTGCCCTGATCGCTGGCTGAGCGAATTTCGGGCCGGCAACATTACAACACACATAGCTTCGATGGCCGAGCTAGTTCCTTATCAGTAACGTCTTACAGAAATAAAGGCTTGGGTAACGTATATTTCACAATAATTAAGGCTGGCGTGAAGCTAAAATAATTTGATGAATGTTTTTACTGCGTAATAACGGAAAGCGATTGTAGAAATGGTCAAAGCTATGGTCGTGAACGTTGAGACTGGTTTTGAAATTAGAACTGCCGAAGGACCAGCTAAAATGACTGCTAGTGAAATACAATCGCATGCCAACTCGCTCGCTGATAAAATATAATAAAGAAACGCCATGAACGCAAAGATTAAAAAAAATCGAAGCATTTAAATGAGCAATCTGATCGTGGTTGTTGATGCGTGGAACTTGGAAATAGTCGCTACCAGACACTTGATTTGTTTAAAAACTATTCAGGACGTTTTGGGGAATGAAGCTACCACATAGGAGGCAGTAGGCAAATAGGCAGCGTTGAAAAATATTTATGCCACCGATTGTTATGAAGGCGAATCCTTTCGGTATCGCGGTTTCTAAGCTCCCCCCCCCCCCCCCCCCCCAATGTGAGTTCAGCTCTACACCACGCTACAAAAGACGCTTTGGAGTAATGCCGGTGCTAATTCAATTTTACGGCAGGAATAAGAATTGCATGAAAGAAAGAACCGGACAGGAACACTTTCTACAGTGGCGTAAAACCGGAACATATATCAGCGAACTCACTTTTATCGCTTAGATTTGTGTTTGTCCTTTGTCCCTCTTGTTCGCCTTCTCCAGGGATTATTTTCGTCATTCTTGTCCAGCTCGCTTGCACCTTTACATTTAATTGTATTATAATAATAACCCCTTTGTTAGCGAATGAAGAACATTTTGATAAAGTGAAGGGTGCAAAATACTTCCTCTGTCTAGTTTTCTAATCACAGTCACTGGTTGATGTCGTCCCGTGGTAATTTCCGGCCCTTTGAAAGCGCTTCCACCTTGTAGAGTCACTTTTCCAGCGACGCCGCGCCGCATAGGAACGAAGGTAAACAATCAAGGTGGCGGAGTGTTCCCCGTGTTGTCCCCGCCGTTAGCGCGGTGTGACAGGGCGGTCGGGCAACAAATCGGCCAACACGGTTGTGGTGTGGCAACAACGTGTTGCCCGACTGTTGTTGTTGCCGTGATGCGACAGGGTCGCCGGCAACACGATTTTCTCGTGTTGCCGGATAGAGTTGTCCTACTGTTTCCTCGGTGTGATAGGGACCTAAGTGACGTCAATTGTTATTAGAGGCGAGACCAATTAAAATGTTTGCGAAAAAGTAATAGGTTTTGATCGAGAAATTCATAGATTTTCACGTTTTTAGCCCGATTTAAAAAAAGTGCGCTATAAGAACCCCACAAGACCTGCCAACAATGACGCTTGTAAGAAAGGCGAAGTTCTTTCAATTATGTCGGCACCATCTCAACAGCGATTCCTTGGTGGTGGCGCCGATAACATACGAGACGACGTGACTTGAACGAGTACGTCACTCTTCTAAGTGTGCATTGTGTTGTCCCGTCTACTTCGTGCCCTTGTCTCTCGCTTTGCGCTTGATATTTTCAGTATGTTGAACCGACTAGCTAACATCAATTTTTTAGTATATTTCTAGATGTCCTTGTGGGGCAGGGCTTGAGGGGTCTCTTTTCGCTTCAAATTCTTAAATCGCACTAAAAGTGCGAAAATTTATCAATACAGTGATGTCTCGTTAGTATAAAGACCTTTGTTCCCGTAAAAAACCGTCCATAATGTAAGCTGTCCATAATAAAGAGACAAAAATGTATGTATTTTCCCAGTTTGTCCCCGAAAGTGGTGTCCATACAGCGGGGTATCCAAATTGACGGGGTCCATATTAACGAAACAGGACTGTAATATCTCTACAAATATAACCAGTCGCAAATTTTTTGAATTGGTTTGGCCACTAATAGTAACTGCCGTCAATACTGCAATTGTAGGCTGACCCCTTAAACCAATAACTAAAAAGTTACTTTAAAAAGTTATTTAATTAGCCAACTTACCTTGAAAAATATTATGTCATGTAATGAACGCCGAGTCTGATAAATACATTGTGAAGACGGCGCTCGTCTAACTTTCTCCCTTCTCAAAAAATATCGTTCGAATTAAAACTAAACATACCGTATATTAACTTGTACTTGTTAATAGGCAATAGTTTATTACAAATAAAACTCTCCAAAGCGACAGAACAAATATAACTATTTATAACGTAAAATTAAGACATGATATTGTTTTATTATTTAGCTATAAACTTAAAAAACAGCAACTTACAAAGGTGAAAAAAGAAAACAAATTATAAAGAAATAAAACGATTAATTTTAAGCAGTGTAAACTGTTGGCAGTTCGTCTCTGCAGTAGAGAGGAAGCCAAGCTTAATTAAGTGCATATACTATTTTAGACTCTTTTGTGTTCCACCCCAGACTTAGTCCGAAATAATTAAGAAACCGCTCGCTCGAATGTGGAATGATTACGCTGGCTACTTTCCTTGTGCACTACCGCGGACGATTTTTAGTGTAACCAGTCCGACTTGAGCTAGAACAGGCTTTTATTCGTTTGTTACTTTGGCGTATACTAGAACTGCACGGAAGAGCTTCCGCGAAATAATCTGCGACGTGTAAATGCAACATAGGATAGTCGTGAAAAAACGAGCCGAAAAAAGCAAAAAAGCGACAATAGCTGCTGCATATCGCCAAACAGCTGGCGTCTGTCTGCGTAAAATATATATATATATATATATATATATATATATATATATATATATATATATATATATATATATATATATACATTCACTGCAGTTCGAGTATCGTCAAGTGAAACGACGAGATTAAGATAAATGCTGCAGGTATTCGGCATTCAGTGCACGCCATATTCGGGGGAGATGTTTAGAGCGCATGCTCAGAACGAGCAAACAATAATAGTCTGCTAAGACCTACAATTTGTTAATGCGGAATGCACGTTGCAAAAGAACCGTGGAAGCTCGCCGTCACCACGCACTCAGCAGTCGCGCACACAGTTATGGCCGCCAGTGAATACTCCTATGCGTCGAGAAACTGAGAGAGAGGAGGAGACGAGAGGGGACGGTCAGAACGCCGAGCTCTGATTCGAAGGGTTAGTGGGTAGACCTACAGCTGGCTGCCTTTGGCTCTTCTGCACTCCTCGAAAGCGTTCGAACCCGAAAGCCAAACGTCGAACGCCAGCTTTCTGCGTCCTAACGCGTTCGACGAATGCAATGGAGACAAAGTTTGCTAGCTTTAGGTCTACCCCCTAATCCTTCCAACCAGGGCTCGGTGTTATCACGTCCCCGCGAGCGCTCTCGTCTCTTCCCCTCCCCCACTTTCTCGGCGCATATGGGCCGCTCTGTTTCCGCCAGGAATGGGATATTTGCAGATTCATTTGAATTTAGCTTCACAACATCACCGTATCTAGTAACTAACGTAAGATCTGCAGATGAAGCTGGGCCCCATTATTCTCGGAGAAACATGAACTACAGAAGCGCAATATTTGCTAACGTCTTCAATTGAGAGAGCGCGAAACACGCGCTTCTTCTGTAACGGCATCCTAAAGCCTCTGGATACATGGGAAGGTAGCGCCATTGCCTTCGCTGCCTGCTAGGCGGAAAGGAACAGATACTAACGTACGGGCGACCAAACCTCGCAAGGTGATTTGCTGATCGGTCTCAGTTGCCATGGCCAATCGCCATTTCGGTCCATTCAAATCTTCGAAGCTTTGAAAGGGATTGTTCTGAACCATTCGCACCAAGATCGTTGAGGAGTATCGTCCTACTGAAATCGTTCTTCTCCCTTGGCGGTGTGCATGTGATCCACTTATCAATCATGCTTATTTCCAAAGATTTCCTGCAATGGTATTGTTATTCTCGCTCATTTAAAAAAAGAAAAAAAATGTTTTTCAAGGCCGCAAACCACTGACGCTGTTTGTGGTGGCCGTGCGAAGATGTGCGCCGGTTTCGCCGGTATGTGAAAAACAAAATCTCGGTCTTCGAGAAACATCTGCATAAAGCTACCCGGCACCAGCAAATTTAGATCGGGTCACCAAAATTGAAGAGGTAAAGAAAAACTCCTTCTTCCAAGAACCAAAATGGCGACCACACGGGGAGCTTGGCGCTACTTTCCCCCGATGCAGTGACCTTTTTCTAACCATGTTGGGAATTAACGCAGTATGTATTTTATGAAAATGTCAGATGTATGGTGTTTAGCAGCTCCCACTGTGGAGCAGTTTACCTGAGGAAAGCCACTAGCGCAGAAGCATTTTTTTTTTGTGGGCGGAGCTTTGATGTTTAGTGGACGGGTCGTCTTCTGGAGACCCTTGATGCAATAGACGATAGTAGTGTTTATTGTTCTGTACCATGCTACTACCTCCTCCACGCCGTATTAAATTTTCATTAGTTTCTTGGTTCAATCAAAGGTTAATATTATCTTATCCTCTTTTTCATGCAACACAGCGCGTTTAAACAAAATTAATATAAGACAAATAAAATAAGATAACAAAAATAAACATGGATGGCATTAATCGCACCGTGCCATGGCCTTCGTACCATATTGCCTTCATTATGGTCTAGTCCTACGCGTACAAATGACCCGGCCCCCTATGGTAAATGTGTACTTACTGATTACCAGCGAGCAGCATTCTTTTTTTTTTTTTTTTTGCTAAGCGAGGCTAGGCCATAAACCTACATATAGTACAGATCCTGTTTTTGCATTATTCTCCCAGTTGTTTAGACAGATCGCAGCAACCAGTCAACAGGTACGAACATGGAAAGTCACTCTTAACACGAATAAGCAATCGACCTCTTTACTTTTTTTTTTTCTCATTGTAGTAGGATAAGTTCATTTGAGGTACTTACCAAAATTTAAAATTTGCCGTCTGTCAACTTTTTTTTGTGTAATACGCGAAACATTCTCCGATTTTGTGTTAGCGACGACAATGTCGCGCGGTGTAAAGTCAGCGAGCAATAAGGGTTGGCCCAGTTTAGTTTTAGCCGAAAGGGACAAAATGCCGCACTGGGTGGCTCCGACATGCTAAGCTAAGAAACCGACTGCCCCATTGAGACGATAGGAAAATATGCTGATTCATTCGAACCGTTAATTAACAGCTTAACGTGTTCAGGGCGCGTGTGTGGAAAAGCTTGCGATGTAAGTCAGCGGGTGAATCTGGGCACTCTAATTTGCTTGTTTTTATGGAACGTGACGTCGCCTGCTTCACGGGGGGTAGGGGAGGGGGCTGAAGTTTGGGTACAGTATAAACACGCTGTAGGCTGTTTCCTCGTCAGATCGCACGATAATGGTCCGGGTCATACGCCTCATATTTATGTAAAACAAAAAAGAAATATGTTAAAGCCATGTTTTTGTCAGGAGCACTCAGCTATATATGAACGCAGAAGCTAATTTGATTTTCGGAGATACGAAATTTCGAAGTACGAGATTTGGTAATTGCCAAGGATACACTATGGTACTTTGCACAGCAATCAATTTCACACCGAAGCATTCGCGGAGTAATAGTTATTCCTACTTATTTCATGAAATGTTTCCAACGTGGACACAGAATATTAAACATTACAATATAAAACTTTTATACAAACAAAAACTATAAAACACGTCAAGTAAACACGTTTCAGAGGCACATCCACAAAATATTTACCGGCAAACTACTTTATATAAAACGACTCAATATATACCAAAATTGGCATCTTTTAATGCATATAACGAATACTGTAAACGACTAAATTTTCGCGAGGACCTAATTTTCGCGGATTTCGCGAATCGCCTACAAACGCGAGAAATACGTCCTGCGAACAATTCGGGCAATATGTGAACACTACGGAAGCTACGCTCGATTCGCGAAAATTAGAACCCGCGAATAATTTCAAATTTGCAGCTTTGGCCCGATTCGCGAAAATTTGAGTCCGCGAAAATTAAGTCGTTTACAGTATATAAAACTATATGCTTAGAAATTATAGTAGTTGATATTAACTCATTGAGTAACATATGAACTCCAAAGAGAAAAGCGACAACAAACCTTCACTCAAATTTAGCTAGCTAGTCTTCGCTATAGGGGCTTTGACGAACGACGTCGTCTCCAAAGAGACACTGCCTAGAACCGACAAAGGCTGTACAGCAGTGCAGCTCTATCGTAGGGTGTAGAAAGTTATACCGTCCTTAGCTTAGCTTTATACTTGTGTTTCCTTAGCTTCTCACCTAAGACCCCCACCCCCGGTAAACCAGGTGATGTGATGTCCATGAAAAAGCGCCAATCACATTGCCGAAATTTGTGTGTGCGGAGTGGAAGTTCGTCTGCTTTTCTTGCAGGAGTTCTGGTGACGTCAGAATGCCACCGAGCTCTTCTTGGCTCCGCTTGGAAGGATAGTGGGTAGGCCTGAAGGCAGCTTGCCTTGAGGTCTACCCCCTGTCCTTCAATCAGAGCCAATCAGAGCTCGGCGTTCTAACGTCACCACAACCCCTGCAAAAGAAGCAGACAAATTTACGCTCCGCGTTGACTGACTTCACGAGATTTTTCGAATACACATCGGGGACATTCGGGCGCGAATATCAGCCTGAACGCCGCCGAGCCAGTTCAAATTACCGCACCCCGCAATACAAGTGCAATGTGGCGCGAATGCTTACGGGAAGACGGCGGGTGCGACGATGGCGTCGGTGGCGGTGCGGCGACGCGACCGGCGCCGTCGCTCGGCGATCGGGGTGTCGGCGAACTCCGGCGGCGGCGTCACGGTGGGCGTGGACGACGGAGGGTCTGGGGTGCCCGAGCCCGACGAGCAGGACATGTCGAGGCTGCAGCCGGAGTCGAGGCTGGCCCGGCGCCCCCTTGAGCCCGTCTTGGACGCGACGTCGTCGTCGATGTCAGCGCCGGGAACCTCGGCCTCGGAGCTCGGGGGCGTCGCGTCGTGGATGAATCGCGCCGGCTCGGAGTCTCGCTCGGAGAACGGCTTCGGAGTGTCGTGTCGTTCGGGCGCCGGTACGACTGTGTCGACGGCGGTGCCTGTGGGTGTCGGGGGAAACCAGGTAAAAGGACAGAAAAAAAAAGTGATGTTACGAGAGTTTTGAGCAATGCTATACACCTTTCGACCACTTAGCACCTGAGCCAAAAAAGTGCCTCGTGATTTGACTGTGTACACATGCGCCGTCTGGAATATTTCGCAGAAGAGAACTACCGCGCATCAGAAAGGCCAGTTCAGACAGTTGCGTTTGACTGCGTTCCAGTGCGGTACGGCATGCTTGCGGTCGACTGCAGAAGCGGGTCGCCTAGCAACCGACGACGCTTGGCGTTCCGCAACGCACCGCAGCAGAGTTGGGCCAGGCTGAACTTTCCAGTGCGGAGGGGCGTGCGGTGGGTTGCGGTGGACCAATCACAATTCGCGAAAAAAAGAACGCCGAAGCGCATGCGCGGCGCTGGCAACTACATCCGGTTCGTCCCGTTTTTCCGGTCGGGGACGTCTGCTGCGCCGGTGAGGGTCGTGTGTTCGTAGTCGAGTCGAGATCAAGCATCCCCTGCAGAATGGAATCAAGAGGAGCCCAACAAAAGCCAGGAAAGCCCACGGTGAGCGACCAGGAGGCGCTCATCATGCACGTCGAATCGCACCCCTGGCTCTACGACACGAGCCGGTCAGACTCGCGGCCGGGGTGGCGCCGTCGCTGGAGCAAGATCATCGCGGTGCAGAGCTGTCGCGGTGGTAGCCCGCACAACCAGGGGCCAGTTCGTCTCACTGCCGGCCTGTGCAACGTAGCCCCGCACGCAGTCTAGGAAGAGATTCCTGAGGTTTTCTGTTTGTTCCAGTCTCGACAACCCCGGCGGACACGGAAAAGTCGCGACGCTACCGCTGGACGCCGCCATGTTCGTTGTGATCATAGTTGCTTGACTTCATTCGCTCTGCAAGTCGCGGTTTCGATTGGTGCGCCGCAAGAGCCGATAGCAAGCTCCTATGCGGAGGGCAAGTTCCTCTGCTTCTTGCGCAGGGGGTAGCGGTGACGTCAGAACGCCGAGCCCTGATTGGCTGATCGCGACCCCCCTATCTGAGCGTCGTCTGCTCCTTTGCAACGTCGTCTGCTCGCAATGTCGTCTGCGTCTGTCTTACCTTTCCCGCGACTTTCGGAAGGCCAGATTCACGAAACGATCTTACGCCAAAAATGTGCGTGAGACAGAACTTAAGAACAAATTCGTATTCACGAAACGAAATTTTCGTAAGTTTTGCGCAGGTTACGACGAAATCCTACGACAGCTCCGAAGCTCGCATGGACGACAGCGTCGCGGTCGCGACCCACGGGCGTTTATTTTTCTACGTGCGCTTCTCACGCGTCCCGACTTCAAGCAGCAAGAAAAAAGTACTTGAAACAGACCACGACGAACAAGAACGCTGGATCCACAAACGCCCAGGAAAAGCTCCAATGGCCACGATTCCACCGAACGAGACCAAGCGAGCTTCGGCAGTTACGCCTAGCAGTCACTCCGCGACTCGGCGACCGTCTGCCCACGACCGGCTGGCGTGCTGAATGGAATATGCCCGCGCGACCCTTGTGAACCCTTCTCGTATTATGCTTTGATTGCTGACCTCAATTTTAGATTAAGAGGTCAATTTATTCCTGTTGTTATCTCCTTGTTTCCCGAGGCAACGGTGACTCTCGCCGGTGAAAAAGCGGTGAATCTCCGACAGACGGAGGAAAGGTAAAGCAGCCATCGCTTTGACTAGCAGACGTAAAGCAGACGCCCATTAAAGAATGAGGGGTCTCGCCGCACACGAAAGGACGGAAAAAGTATTTGGGAGGGAACTTGCGGACACTAACACGCTCACTCTCGGTTCTCAGCAAACAAACCTCGGCGCCTCAGGACACCTCGCTACCCTTGACTACTCTCCTTGATGCGCGTCTGCTAGTTGTTAGACAAAAACAACGTACCGCTCGAGTTATTTCGTCTGCCCTCTCTGAAAGGCGAAGTGGAGCTCGCTTGTAAAGTCGCAGGAAAGGTAAGACAGACGCAGACGATGTTGCGAGCAGAAGACGTTGCAAAGGAGCAGACGACGCTGAGATAGGGGGTCGCGATCAGCCAATCAGGGCTTGGCGTTCTGACGTCACCGCTACTTCCTTTCTCATGCGCAGAAGACGAAAATGAGCCCACTTGCGAGGCGTATTGGTTCTTGACTGCGGCGGACGGCGCTTCGACGCAACTGTGTGTACAAGCTCTCCGCAAGCGTAGTCCGCATCGGTCCGCAGTCGCGCTTCCGTAGCCGAGCGCACCGCAGTCAAACGCAAGTGTCTGAACTGGCCTTTAGAACGACTTCCGCAGTCCAGTAGACAAAAAGAGCAGAAACGCAAGGTGTGGCGAGTTTTGATTAGCTTAATATGTTGCGACGCAGCCAATGAGATCGCAGAATGAATCGATGAGAGAGTCGAAGAACGAATCACGAGGCTACGATCGCGAGCTCTGGCTCTGCGGCTTATCGTTAGGAGGAGGGGGGCGGGGGGGGGGGGGGGGGGGGGGTACATAGTGGGGCTAGTGCCCCTGGTTCAGGGCGGTGTCTTTAGGGCGAAGACTGACATAAAGGGGAATATCCTGTTGTGTCTTCCCGAGTTGGGAGGGGCCCCCACTGTGGGGCCACCTCTGGGTGGGAGCCGAGAGATACGAAACTAATCAATGCGGCGGGCCTGCTTGGTTCACGGCTGCCATGCAGTGACCGTCGGACCCGCCGTGATGCACGCTTATGACCTAGAGCGGGTTCGGACAGGGGTCGGGCACTGAAGGGCTCTTCCTCGCTGGGTTTCCCTGGGCTATTCCTTTGGCCATTCCAATTTTTTCCTTTTTCTCTTCCCAAATTGACTTTACCGTGGAATTTTCATTTGATGCAAGGACCCAATTCATTTATATCGAATTGGCTTTGAATTAGGCGTGCCTATACAGGCGTTACTGATTGAGGATAATATATTTTTTTATTATTTGAATTTTCTCACCTTACCAAATGACTGTACGGTCACTGACATCTTAAGGAGCTCAGAGCGTCGCGAGTCCTAAAAGCTTTATAGTGCTCCGCAGACAATGGGATTGCGGCACTAGCCAGTAAAAACACCGGTTAACTAGTCACGGAGCGAGCCGCATAGACTTGCAATAAACCGCGCGCGTCCTTACTTATTCAGCTGTCAGAAACTATACGGAGCGCAAGTTCGTCTGCTTCTTGTCTGGGGGTGGCGGTGGCGTTATAACGTCGAGCTCTCATTGTCTCCGATGAGAAGGTAGCGGGCAGACCTTAATGCTAGCCGCCTGGAGGTCTACCCACTATTGTTCCAATCGGAGCCAGCCAGGGCTCGGTGTTCTCATGTCACCGCAAAGTCCTGCGCTAGAAGCAGACGAACTGGCGCTCCGCATAGCGGACAGAATGTCCAGCGCTGTTTGTTTGAAAACGACGAAATAAGAAGAAAAGACAAGTTAACGATAGCTTTGTGCATAAAGTTCTAGCATTATTTCCGGATACGACTGCTACTGACGTGGCGCAGAGAATGTCCGTACTCGTAAATGCCTTGCGTCGAGATGCACAGAACGGCGTTTGACGTTGACCTCTAACGCCGAACTCGCTTTGAGGTCAATCCCTTTGGTTTGCTTCGTCGTTCTCCTTGAACTTTGCGTGGATTTCGACAAGTGACTCTTTCTCTGCTTTGGACGAAAGTAAGCAAGTTGTCTTTTTTTCTAAACAAATTAACAAACACAGCACTCAATTTTATTCCGCAGGGCACGAATCAGCTGCTGCGTTGGGCACGTTTGAACTTTCTTAAAAGATGCAGCAAGATGACGGAAGAGAGTTTGACTCTTAATTTTGGCGCGTGCAACATTAAGAACGAATCGTTAAAATAACAATGCCTAATTGTTTTTAAACTGGCGGCATTCTTGTAAATAGAAACGCAAATACGGCGTCGAGGGCATGTAACGATTTCTTGGTAAAAAAGAAACGCTGCCTTACAGTAAATCCAAGTCGATTAATAGTGAGGTTTGGTAGAAATAAAGTCTTCCATCTAGGACGCAAAATGTTTATTTGCAGCTCGCCCAAAGGATGGCTGGACCGGACACAATTAGCACAGAAAAACTGTTTTCACTTACTTTCTCGGGGAAAACATTTCAGCTGCCAGGTAGCGGAATCATAGGTAAAATGCCCAGTAATGCTTCTAACGTTTTATAAAATAAAGGCATCACCTCTTATACAAAAGTAAATCCATGGAATAACTAACGTTACGCGAGGAGGCTCGATGTACAAGAGTTGCAACTTGCAACGAGCCCACCATCCAAGGGGCAGAAAAAATTCTAGTGCTTATCTTACTACATCCAGAGAGAAGAAAAGTAGCGCACACCCGGTTCAGGAAAAGAAGCGGACGACTCGCTAAACAGCGCATAATCTCTTCTGCCGCAGCTTTTGGAAAGCAAGTTTTATGCGAACATTCTCTGCCGGTTTGTTTTTCTCCAGACCAATGATAAATGCGGAGTATGAAAATAAACTATAAACAAGAATACAAGTAAAAGAGGTCCATGCATCCACGTTAACGAAGCTGGTTTCGCTTTCCTAGACACAGAGCCGGAGGCCACTCGAGCGCGTGCACCATTTCTGGTCCCACGTGTATTTTCCGCTTCCTACACGAAGGCAATCCGCGGCTGATCCTTTCATGAAATATTGTTTGTCTCTCCTGGAGATCCCAATATATACGTGCAGTCAATTGCGGACTACACCCGGAAATTCGAGCTTCGAATACCAGTGGCGATGAACCTTTGGGATAGGATCCGAAGGCGGTCAATTCTAGATATATTCTACAGCCTGCTCTCTGGGTAGAGTGTTTTAGAATAGAGGACCCTGTGACTTTGGTTCTCCCAGCAGCTCGGGACCTCACAGTGCGCAAGCGCACAAGCATTGCACGTGCCCAGAACGGCTCCTTAAAGGGGTCATGAAACGATTTTCCTCCTTCTTCCTCCTTAGCTTTAATCCTCAACTCAAATGCGAAATGTGAAATCACGTGGTCGTGACAATCCTTCGGCACCGGTGCGATGACTCCTATCTTCCACCGTGCATTTTTTGCACACCATAGAACTTGTCATTCCCCAGTGACAATAAGTTCCGTCAGGGCACTCATTGGCCACAAACGCGAATCCAAATATTCGTCGGCGGATTAATTGTTGACGAGCGCATACATCCGAGTGACGCAGTTCTCGTGTCCAATGCGTGAGCTGGGCTCTGCTGACGTCAGTTTGGCGCCGGTGACGCGCTTTGGGAACCGCGAATGTATCATAGTGAAAAGGCGGAGAGCTTTCGAAGGCAAGAAGGTACAAAATAGTCCGCTATATTTTCAAATGTTCGTACCGAAACGCTGGCTTTTGACTCTCTAGCCTCTTTCTTTTGGCCAACTAAACGATATGCGATTAATAAAGTCCCAATTTAAAATCATTCATCCCAACCCAAAATTCGTTTCATGGCCCCTTTAAGCTGCGCTGCATGGTAGAAACACAACGCGTTGCAGCCCTTTATTCTAAAACTCTAAGGTCGCGTTAAAGGATTTTTTTTGTTGCTTTGCGCGAGATTTTCTATTGCGCGCTTGGGGTACCTCGCGGACAAACGCCTTTGATGCCTGCATTTTGTGAAGGCTTTCGTTTTAAAATTGCTCCTGACTGCGCACACTTTACGAATCTTTTGTTTTCACTCAAATAATCATTCGGAAATTTAAAAAAAGTGACGCAAATTGCTTTGCAATAGTTTTGCTACGTGAAACGTTTTTGGTTTAGCGTTGGTGGTGCTAAACCACTAGCGCTAAACAGAGTGCTTATAGAAGTTACTGGTGAGTTAGTGTTAGCTAAAGTTAGAGTTAGCACCAGTTAGAGTTAGAGTTAGTGCTAGTTGCAGTAAGGGTTAGAGTTTGTTAGGGTTAGAGTTAGAGTTAGATTAGGTTATAGTTAGAGTTAGAGTTATTTAGTGTATGTGTGAGAGTTAGAGTCAGTTCGAGTTTGTTATGTTTATAGTTTGTTATGGTTAGTAATAGCCAGAGAAAGTTAGCGAGTTTGAATTACAGATAAAATTATTTAGAGTTAGTGTTATCTCGAGTTAGTGGAGTTAGTGGTGCTGACTCCATTTTTTAGGTGGCAATTTTCCCACTAAATGTAGCTGGTAAACTGAATTTGTTTAGGTCACGTGACGTCAATTTTCCCGTTAAATCTAGCGGGAAATTAAATTTGCCTATAGGCCACGTGACGTCAATATTTCCGCTAAATTTTAGAGCGAAACTGAATATGTGTATAGGTCACGTGACATGAATCTATTTGACGTCATTTTCCCCGCTGAATATGGCGAGTAAATTCACGGTCACGCCCTTTTAAGGCTTCACTTCATTCCAAAACCTAGCCTATAAATGTTTTACGATAAAAAAAAAAAAGACTTGATTCTCACCTTCGGAAGTCATGCAAGATTGATCATGCATACATTCTTACATTAGGGGTGCCGGGTACTTTGTCCTTATCCGAGCCTGATTTTCGGCCGACAAACTCATATTTGTACTTTTTTCTCCGACATATGGCAAAGCATTTGCGAGAAAAGGATGAGCTTCTTTAAAAATGATTTTTATTTACGTTCCTACATAACAACTGCCGAAGAGACTCCACCCTAAGAAAATAACGCTCTATGCCCATGTAAGATATGTACGGGTTACCCCAAAAAAGTAGCTAAATACCGTTACCCATTACTCGCTCAAAAGGTAACTAAATACGTTACTCGTTGCCGATTCTCAATAGGAACGCGTTACTTTCCTCAAAAATAACGGGTTACATTTCTAGCTACTTTCACGACCAAATAAACCACGGTTTTGGTTTCAAGGTTTATCGTTCTCTTTTCAGTAGTCGATTCACATAAGCAGCAGCCACCTCTCAAAATTTCCATCAGTTATGTTTCCCCGCTTTCTTGAGAATACATGTCCGGCGACGCTGAAAAGACGTTCTACTGACGCGCTCGAAGGAACGGCAGTGTTGCGCTTCAGGAAGAGCTGGTGCATCTAAGATTCCCTTTCTCTTTTGTACTTTCTGCTTCTAAAAAGTTCCAAGTTTACGATGGGTTCTGTGCCTGCCCGCATTGGCAACCACCGTGTTTACATTCGGTCTATACACGATTCTAGAAGGTTAAACCAACGAACCTTATTGTGTTCGCAGGGTGCTGGACATTCCCAGCTGTACAGTTCAACTGGCGTGTTCAGCGATAATCGTCGCAATACTCTCATACTGCTTAGCTGTTTTTCGGGTTGCCAATCTGCTTTTGTCGCAAGAGGCGCGTAGTAAGGTTAAAATCAAAACATTGCTGTTTAAACCTTGTTATACAAGTTACTCCTCAAATGTAACAAAGTACTGTTACTCGTTCCTTGGCCTTAGAAGTACCTACGTAGGTTACTCGATCTTTTTTCTAAAATAAGTAGCTAAATACGTTACTCGTTATCGAAAAACGTAAATAGGTAAAAGTAACTGGTTATTAATAATGCGCTACGTGCATGTCTGGCCCATGCGCAATAAAAATTCGCCTGAGTCTTTTTTTTTTTTTTCAAAGAGTCAACTTTTAAAGAAAAGGCGCTGATGAGATGCTCGTCTTCCCGTGACGCCAAAAAACTGGTGCGTTCGTGGGAAAGTGATGCCATCTCTATTTATAGTTTCCGAGAACTTAAGAGATTCAGGGTGTGGCTAGCTTGAGCATTTTTTTTGTTGCTCCGCCGTCAACGAAAATGCGGCATTCTCATTGACTGTGGTGTACAAAACGCGTAGCAAGACCCGGGAACGTTATAACCCACGTCATGCGTTTCTTAAGATGTCAGGGACTATAGGATTTCAAAGCCAGTGCCTCTCTTCCTGGTGTACGTTGTAAGGTCAACAGCCTTACAAAAACCATAGTGCATACATCCTTGAAGGAGCGTACCAACTGTCGTCGGACGGCGGTCTGCTCCAGCGGCAGTGTCGTCAGCAGCGAGGGCGGCTGAGGGGTCCTGAGGTCCTTGAGCGACTTCGGGACCAGAGGGCGTGGCGGGCGTCGGCGTCCAGTGCACGGCCGCGAGCAGCGCGTGCAGGCTGCTCCTGGTGGGTCTTCGGCGACGGCTGAGCGATCCCCTTAATGCCAGCAGTCCCCTGTCCTTCTGGGCGGTGTGGTCCAACGCGGGACCGCAGAGACCCGGACGCTCTGTCGCTGCGCTCAGAGACCGGCCACGCCTGCCCGCCGACGCCGCCGACGCCGTTCCGTCGGCCTGCTGGGAGACAAGAGACGAGACGCGTGTTTTAAGTGACGTGTAAATGTTTACGAGCCTTTCTCGCACCTAAACGCATCATGAGGTATGGGCATTTGATTCATATCGAGGAAGGGTCCACTAATTGTGGAAAATCGTTTTGGTTAGTGAGGTTCTCTGGCCCCCAGAGGGACCAGAAGATGCCCCCAAAGTGTTCCACAGTGAAACTAAAAATATTTTTGAGCAGTGTTTGGTTTAAGAAGTAAGTTCAGGTATTTAAGCATCTTCTGGCCCCCCGAGGAACCAGGGGGCTATGCTGCACGTTTTGGACCCCCAGGAGACTAGGGACAAGGAAGTGACGTCAACAACGCTCTTTGGATGTTGATTGGTGGAGTCGCTGATGACGCGTTGCGTGGTGCTGCTAAGATACGTTCATTCACACCTACGTCACTTCCGTCTTCCTAGTCCCCTGGGAGTCCAAAACGTGCAACAGAGCCCCCCAGCAGCTCTCGAAGCGTTCCCAAAGAAAAAAGAAGCTGAGGCTAGCGCGCACTCTCATTTCAGAACTGAACTTGGCCCTCTTGGCATAGCTCGAAATGCTGGATAAGTGGGCACACCTTAGAAGAACCATAAATGTATTGAAATTTTGGGACGAACAAAATGAACGCCAATCGGAACTGTACACTTTAGCGCAAGTAGCCCTTGGTATAACATCCAGACAGGTCAGCGTAGATTGGGGATTCTCGGCATTCAAATTGATTTGGTCGGAACAGAGGTCTCGCATTTCACCAAATACACTTGAGGATGTGTTGCCTTTGAGACCATGCTCAGTACCTCGGGCCGTTCTTCCTCACATTGCCTTTTACCCACATTCTTTCATTTTCTATCGTTGCAAGAGCGCACACCTGCCATAACTTTTTAATGACCTACTTTTTAATATAAATAAGCGTTTGATTCTCTTTAATTTTAGTTTTGAATCTTTTTTTTTTGGATGCGAATACGCTTTTTTGTTTCGGAATAGAATCTGAACGTGACTTCGTTTTATGGAACAAAATTGAAACCAGAACAACCAAAAACGTATTTTGTTCCGACACCTTGGTGTGTAGTAGTAGTTGAAGGCTCGGAGTATGTTTATGTTGTCTGCCAGCCGATTATCAGGCGGAAGTTTGTCACGTGGCACCAGTCGGGAATAAAGTGATTAGCCTTTTTTTTCTGAGGAGAGGTAAAGTAGTTGAAAGTCTAGAGAAGTTGGAGAGCTGCAAGATTAATAGTTCGATTTTTCGTTATGACTTGAGCGTTCCACCGTGCGTCAATGATGTCCTAATCGCAAACTATGTACAAATATTTAGATGCGCATAGTTTGTGAAACTAAATTCTTCCAAATTAAAATTCGATAACATTGCCATCTGCATTCTCTCCAATGTGTTCCGCGACTCCCGCTTCATTGTTAACACCACGAAAAGAAGCATGCATTTTGTCACACTCGGCAGATTTTAAGCACATGGAGAGTTCCCACTAAATATATTTCAAATCTATATTAAAATATTATTTTAATACTCACATAAAACTGAGAAAAGGTGAGTTGTGCAATTGAATTGGATTTTTATATTTGTAAAGTCTCTTTTTTCTATATTGGTTTGAGTGCGCATGTTTTTGTGTATACCTGCACGAATACGCATGCTTTCGGCATCCATGTATGTACAAATGCGCATGTTTTCGTACATGTGTTTACAAAGCAGAATTGGGCAGTATCGCGATACAAATGTATCGCGATAGTATTTGAGAAATAAATTTCGTATCTGCATTTCTGTATCGCGATACACTTTTTTCACCAGTATCTGTATTCCTGTATCGAAATACATTCGGAATGTTTCTTTGTATCGCGATACAATCAGGATGAAATGTATTCCGTTACATTTCTTGAAAAATACTCCCTCCCCCCCCCCCCCCCCGAAAAAAAAAAAAGTCCCAACGCATTTCTTTTTTTTTTTTTTTACTTCTGAGGGCACCAGAGTCAAGGAAATGATGGGGCATTGTTACTATGCTGACCAAGGTTAATTTTGATTCTGCAAGCTATTTTTCTATGCGTCCTCTCTTCCTCTCTTCTGAGAAGTGTTGCGTAGTTGGGGACTCGAACCAGGTGGCGTGCCAGGAGTGGAGTCAGAGGATCTTGTGCCGCAGGTCCTTAGGTAGGGATTTCTTGAGTCATTGTTTGCTGGCATTCAATGACCGCTGCTAGCTGTCTCTCTCGCCTTAGCGTATAGAATACACCCAGCCGGCAAAGCTAAGTCTCATTCCGTTGCAGCACGAGCATGGCGGTGATTGACTTGAAATAGTAGGAAGGCTCACGCTGTGAAGTTCAACACATTTTCGAATGCATCTGCGGCTGCGCCCGTAACATTGCACGGCTCAAGGGTACGTCATCAGCCGACGTGAACGTGACCCGCTGCTCTGGTGATCCGAAACCCAGAAGAAGGCCAGAAGTGGCCTTGCTGTGCCATCCTAGACTACGTACTCCCGCGACTCGTCTCGAGACCGCTGTTTTTCGGACAGCTCGCACCTGTGCCGGCAATATCAGCTCGCAATTCACGAGGCTTCTGTTTGAATTATTCTAGGCAAAACTTGAGGACTGCAATCCGTGCGTCGGTAGCGGAGGGTCGGTAGTAAGGACCTTCAGAACCGGGATGCTACCGTATCGTTTTTTCAACCGTAACAGAAGATAAGACATGTATTCCAAGATGCTTCAGGTGGTCCACTATTCTCAAAAATTACAAATGACACTGCAAGCACGATCTTCAACTAGGTAACCTACAACGAAAGTACGTATTGTCCTTTCATACAGCAGCGTGGTAAAGTTTCATGGTCAAGGCCACATCTACAGATAAAGAATACTAGTTCATTCCACCGTGACATCATGTGATAAATGTTGACAGGATTCCCTCGCCAGACAGACAGGATGTCATGGAAGGGACCGCGGTCAGCCCTTGATCAAACGTTTTTTTGGGCCCACTGAAGACTCCTTGTCGTCCAAAACCACTACCTTCAAGGCAAAGTTCCAAGCCTACAGGAAAGTAATTTCGGGATCGAAAACATCCACTTCAAACTTCATCTCAGTTGGCGTCTAAAAAAAAAAAAAATTGGAAAATGTATTGCACTATCAGTATTTCTGTATTTGTATTTCTGCCCTCCCTAAAATGTATTCCTGTATTTGTATTTCCAAATACATTTTGCCTCTTTTTAAAATGTATTTCCGATACGTATCGCGATACATTTTTACAGATATATCTTAGTATCAGTACTTTAGCTACTATTTTAATGTATCCCAGTATTTGTATTTCCAAATACATTTTTGAGTATTTCTGCCCAACCCTGGTACAAAGGTAAAGGTTCGGCAGCCCCCTGCCTGGTTAATAAGCGACATAAACGGAAATTAAGAGCTTTAGTCATAAATTTAATAAACGGAATCCCGACGTTTGGGCCAAATAATATACTTCGAAAACAGCTCCCTGCTGGCCTCGGAGAGGAATCGGGAAAACATCTCTTCGTGAGTCATGGCTCATGCAACGCCCAAAAGGGAAATGAACCACTCTTTGGGTATTTTTCCCAGCAGCTATGCGTCGGGGCTGCATGACATCACCAAAGCTCCGTACATCTCTGGGTGTATATAAACCAGAGATGACGCTAACGACATTGCTATAACGAAATTACTGTAATTAAATTACTTTTTGCTGTAATGAGTAATGTAACGAAGTACTTTTCTTAGTTGATAATTTAGTTATGTAATAAATTCTTTTCAGGCAATAATTCTGAGAAAAAGTATTCATTACTTCTGTAATTACTTTTTTTTTCCGCGGCCCATCTGAGAACGAAATCTGTGCCGCGGGCGTCGAGAGCGAGACGGGATCGAAACGCGAAGCGGATGAAGAAAAGCTTTCGAGCGAAGACATTTGGAATGCCACGGTTCACGATACTCCATTAAGACGGATTCACATCGAAAAGTAATTGGGGACCGTTCCAGGCTACACTATGGAGGGCACGTCACTAGGAAATTCAACACATTTGAAAACCTGTCATGAGTAGTCGGGAGATAATTTTAAAGGGATACTACAACCAAATTTCGGCGCTTATTTTTTGGTCTATACGTGTTCAAAGGAGTGGTATCACATCAGACACACCAATATCCTGTTAAAAAAGACAACAAAAATAAGTTTAAAACAAGTTAAACGATTAGCAAAGAGCACTTGACTGATGTCGCTGAAGCCTCGTTTGTAATGCCCGTCTAGGAACCTTCACAGCTGGCGACGATAACTGTCTCGCCCAGAACTATACATGCTTTGAACCTGGCGTTATCCCGACAGCTGTACGGTCAGCTCAAGAGAAGAAGGGAGGGTGTTTAACTCCCCACTCAACGCGACTCTCTTTTGTGTGCCCAGATGTCGCTATTCTTCCTCTAGAAGATTGCAGAAGATTAACCCGTCACTCAAAATTCACACAAAAGCAGCTTTGCGATTAGTTGCGGTGGCCCGATCACTTGCGTGCTTCGGCCGCTTCGGTGGCTGGAATGGCTAGGGCATCCTGACGACGTCAGCCTCGCCGCAGCTTTGCTCATCCCGAGACAAACAACGTCACGATTGCGAAGGATGTGGCGTGCTCTCCGCTGGCTGCTCTCCGTGCGCTTGCTAGAGTGGGCCGTTTATTGCGAAAAATACAGCCATCCGGCTCAAAATACAAACGTGCGATTGTCATTTACGGACATCGTAGATCATAATCAGCCTATTTGTGAATACGACGGGTATATCCAAAATTTCGTTGAAGTATCCCTTTAAATCTCTTGCCAAGGTTCCTAACTTCTCGTGAATTGCCTTGTCCTTCGTGGGTAAAGATGCTTTTTATATGCTCCGTTATCCCCTAAGCTGACAGCGTGGCGGAAGCTGCGCACTTGTTGAAGCAGTCATGCGTCAATCTTTCGCCACTTGATCACGCCCCCGCCAATACCCACGCGCGGAAAGCGAAGTCTGGTGATGAAAGGGAGGCGGTTGACCGGTCCGGCGAGCGCGTGGCTTACCCCCGCCCCATCAGCTTAAGGGTGAACGGAATACA